TCACATATATATATAAAAATATATAAATTCCCCATATATTATTATAAATATACCTCGTAAATAATTTTTTGACATTAGTGGCAGTGGTATCTTCATCTAACTAATGTAATGAAAACCATTAATATTTTACATCATTAATTCTGGGAAAATTTAATGGGGGGTATGCAAATTTTAAATATTTCTGCCAAACCCTGTTTTATTCAAATTTAACTGTTTCGACTTGAAGATACTTGCAAATCAAATTGATTTCTTATATTCTTAGATAATCCTTTATAAATTATAAGCCTTCCCATCTGGTCTGTAATGTAATCGGTCTTGATCTGGCATCTCGACTTCAAATTCAAATTTTCAATAAACCATGACATAATGCTTCCCCTGTCTCTTTTTTTATTTATGCTTCTTCAACACCCACAAATAAATTTAAAATCATCCTCCCAAAATTGATAATGTCAATCAAAGAAGTTAATTGAAAGAGATAACGAGAAGATTTTAGTGAAGAGAAATAAACAAATATAGAACAACAATTCCGGAAAGCAGAAGATGGCAATTGGCGTTGTATTTGAGTTTTTGAAGATTGTTGGTGGCAAAAATCCGGAGGCAAGAAGTGCAAGAAAATAAGCATAGAATAGAACTTACGATTACCTCCAGCTAGTTCAGCAGTATAACCTTGAGACCTAGTTGCCAATCAAGTAGTGCGCTTAAATTGATGCACTCGAGGAACCAAGGAGGAAAGCTCATGAGAACAATTATCATGAAAATATTTCTAGAAAAGACAGAGGGAAGCTACATCACAGTGAAATTATCTGAAGTCGAGATGCCAGGTCAGGATGGTTTACATTACAGACCCTTCTTTGAATTTTGTCAAGAATCTAGAGATAGATAGCAGGAACACCAGACCAGATATGGCAGCAATATTCAATGCACAGATGAATGGTAGATTTATAAATATGCAAAAATGGATTTATGACGAGAGAAAATGTCTGACATGACGCTGTGGACCAACATTTTTAGCAGCAGATCTAGCATCTGATTCCACTTCATATCAGTGGAAAACGTGAGCCCTGGAAGGTGTAAAGAGTTGCTCTTCTAATGGCAGGCAGAAAAGGTTGTCTCTGGTGATTAAATAAAAGTAGTTTTGTTATGGAGACATAAAAATTTACAAGCCATTCCTTGTTCCAGTTGACTACTGATTGGGGTTCCTTTTCGAGAGATGTCGCCAGTTTTTACTTTGTCAAACCTGTCAGACTTGCTACTAAAATAGGAGCAAACAATCGTTTCCTCAGCATAAATTCCTAGTTGGCAACTATTTTATCATTTTAGCTGGGGTTGTTCATTTAGTACGCTTAAATTCATACAGTTGAGGGATCAAGGAGAAAAGCGCATCAGGACAATTGCATGATAATACTTTTAGAAAAGACAGAGGGAAGCCACGTTACGGTGGTGAGAAAATGACTGAAGTCGAGATGCCAGATCAGGACCGATTACATTACAGACCATTCTTTGGACTTTGAATAAGAATTCATAGATAGATATCAGGAACATCAAACCAGATATCTCAACAATATTTAATGAACAGACGAATGGTAGATTTATAAATGTACAAAATGGCTTCCGACGAGAAAAAAATTGTCTGGTACGATACAAACTGTGGTTTATACTTTAACTATGTTGAGCGGACCTAAGTTACATTTCAAGTACATGTCCTACCAGGCTTTGAATTCAGAGTCGTCCTTCTCTTAGATCGTTGTTATAAAATTCATATAACGCTTATAGTTGCTGGTTAGTCAGACTGTAAGGAAAACACCTGAAACAAAAGGTTGAATGAGGAAGACTTTAATCACATGAGAACATGGAGAGCACAGTATTCAATGCGATCAGTGTACGACCGCAAAGCGCTACGCCTTTGCGACCCACATTTTGCATGAGCAGACGTAGTGGCTGGACAAGCCCGTGTTTCAATAAGAGGTGTAGAGAAGCCCAGTCAGTCTTACGACACAACAGTTATGAACCACATCTAGAGACTCCAGTTTGCGCTGTTCAGAAGAAAAGAGATAGATTCATACCTTTTCCAGTGGTATTTATGCGAAAGTGAATGTAATGATCTCGACTGGAATTCGAACACGGCTTGTTGATTTCTCATTCTGAGTCTCTAACCCTTACACTCGATGATTTACAATTGCTATTAGGTTATTTGGTTTAATCCAATCATTTCTATCAAATCGTGAAATGAAGGTCGTCCTAAACGGGTTCTTTGCCAACTTCTTCCATATGAAGGCAGGAATTCCCCAAGGTTCTATCTTGGATCTTACACTGTTTCTGATCTTCATCAATGATCTTCCTGATGTCGTCAGTTCTCAAGTTAGCGTCTAGTCAGACGACACAACTATTTACTCCTTTCTCAATAGTAAAATCCGGCAGCGCTGGCAAAGTTAATCTGGCGGCTTTTCTTGAAAAGGACCTCCAATAAGTGGTTAATTAGGACAGTAAATGGCTTGTAAACTTTAATGCCTTCAGAACTAAACTGCTCTTATTTAACCACAACAGAGAAACTTTCCTGAATATTAATTCATCCAAAAATAAAAAGAATTTATATTTACTAAATTTCACATTCAATTTCTCCCAGAGCAAATGTTGGAATAATTGCAGTTGGATTGACCTTTGCGATCGCCCTAAATGTGGGGGACTCGACTGTGCTATTTCTAAGTGTGGGGTCAGCGTTCGGGCTCATTCCAATAAACAAGCCAAAAACAGATTTAAGCACTTCGAATGTCATCCGTGTTTATGAAATGAAAACTCCCTAAAAAATAATTAACTTTTCATTTTGAGGTTTGAGTTTTTGAAAGGCAAGCTAAACAAATTTTGATTTCAAATTTATAATTTCAAAAAAAGAAACAAAGGATTTAATAAAAAAAAACAAATTTGATCTAATTTTTAAAAATCTTGGGGTGAATTAATATTTAGGACGATGTTGGTTTTTAATTATTTAAACAAATTAATAGAAATGAAATAAAAAAACATTCGCCATTTTCTTTTTATTTTAAATATTGTCCTGTTATTTGTTTTTTGTTCTGTTACAAACATTGCACACAAAGAAATCAATAAGACAGACTGCTTGTCCTGAGGATGATTCTTAGAATATAAGAATGAATCATCTGAGTATAACTGAAGCTATAAAGTGTATCTTTGCCTCATACATTCTGAGAGAGGAAACCTTCAAGATAGCAGAACTTTAAATATAGAGAACCAATGAAAATGAAAGAAAAGAGAGATCTGCCAAGAAAATTAGAGAGCAATTCTAGAAAACTTCTGTCAAATTTTTAGAGTGAGTTGTTTGTCAAAAAGAGATTTTTTGTTTAAAATGAAAAGAAAAAGAGATCCATAGGAAAAGAAAAAAAAAACCTGGTTTTAAAGAAATTACAGAAGCAGGGTTAGAAAAAAATCTGGATTTAAAAAAGAAAAGAAAGAAATAATAAAAAAAATGAATTTTATCAAATGTTCAGAATTCCCAACAATTCTTTGAAATGAATTTTTTAGAAAAAAATGATCTTTTTTCATAGAAACAAAGAAAAAAATTTGAGTTTAAAAACAATCTTTGATATAAATAAAAAGAAATAATTTTAATAAATGAGAATTTTTTTTAAATAATAGGAAAATAAAAAGAAATCTGATGTTAAATGTTAAGAACTTTAAGAAAATGAGAGAGAATGGATTTAAAAGAAAGAAAAAAGAGAGTATGTTTTAAAGAAACAGAGAAAAAAAAAAAATAAAAAAACTACTATTTGTTTAAAAAGAATGGAAGAAATAAAATGAATATTTGCCATAAAAATAACTTCTGGGGAAAAAGTGAATAAGAATAAATAAAAATGAAAACCAGAAAAATGGAATAAATAAAAAAAAAAACAAAATCGAAAAAGAAATTCAGAATAAAATTTGTAAAGAAGGAAAAAGACAGAAAAAATTTTGAAGAAATTCTTCTTGAAAAAAAAAGAAAATTGGTTAAAAAGAAAGAGAGAAAAATAAAAAAAAAAAGAATTAAAATAAGTATGGAAGTTTGTCAAGAAAAGAAAATTTTAATTAAAAAAAAAGAAAATGAGAAAGAAAAAAGGAAAGAAAGAAAGTAAAATCAATAAAATAATTGAGAAAAACAGAAAAAAAATGAAGAAATGGAAAAAGAAAGATATGTGGTAAAAAAGGAAAGAAAGGGAGAAAGAAAATATGGAAGAAATAAAGAAAAAAAGGAAAAGGAGTAAAAACAGAAGAAAAAGAAAAAAAAGAGAAAGAAAGAAAAGGAGAAAGTGAGAAAATCGAATCTTTCTGACACGTTTATGGGAGAGGACAGTGAAATCTGACTTCTTCGATAGGAAAACGTTTCCTCTCGCCTTCCTGCTAAATGGAACCCCAAAAGCTGCCCATTCTAATCAGTTTAAGCGTGTTGTCTCCGTTGCGGGAGACGTTCAATTTTAAACACCCGCTTTTTTTTTACCGACCGTTTGCACTAAATGACCCTAGTTCGTGTAAAATGTTTTGACGATTCACGAACGCGAAAGTTCGATGCGTTAAGCCGTTCTACAAGTGAACATAACCTGCACTCTGTTGGCCATTGGCAATCTGAAATTTCTGTCTCTTATTTCTGCCTCTCTTTCTCAATGCTTCTTTCTTTCTCATATCTCATTTGCTTTCTTTCGTTATTTCTTTCTTTCTCTCTTTCTTTCTTTCTTTCTTATGTCTCATTGTATTTCTTTGTTTTTCTCATGTCTCATTTTCTTTTTCTTTCTTTCTCTCTCTCTTTCTTTCTTTCTTTCTTTCTTTCTCATATATCATTTTCCTTTTTTGTTTCTCAGTTTATTTCTTTCTCATGTCACATTTTCTTTCTTTTTTATTTCTCATGACTCATTTTATTTCTTCCTTTTTCTCATGTCTCATTTTCTTTCTTTCTTTCTTATATTTCATTTTCTTTCTTTTTTATTTCTCATGACTCATTTTATTTCTTTCTTTTTCTCATGTCTCATTTTCTTTCTTTCTTTCTTTCTTTCTTTCTTTCTTTCTTATATCTCATTTTCTTTCTTTCTGTCTTTCTTTTTTCCTTCTTTCTTTCTTATATTTCTTTTTCTTTCTTTTTTTCTTTTTTCTTTCCTTCGTTCGTTCTTTCTTTCTTTCTTTCTTATATCTCATTTCTTTCATTGTTTCTTATATCTCATTTTCTTTCCTTCGTTCTTTCTTTCTTTCTTTCTTTCTTTCTTTCTTTCTTTCTTTCTTATATCTCATTTCTTTCATTGTTTCTTATATCTCATTTTCTTTCCTTCTTTCTTTCTTTCTTTCTTTCTTTCTTTCTTATATCTCATTTTCTTACTTTTTATTTCTCATGTCTCATATTATTTTTCTTTTTTCTCATGTCTACTTTCTTTCTTCCTTTTTCATCATGTCTCATTTTCCTTCATTCTTTCTTCTTGTCTCGTTTTCTTTCTTTTTTCTTATGTCCCATTCTCTTTTTATTTGTGATGTCTCATACTATTTCTTTTTTTAATGTCTGGTTTTCTCTCCTTCTCTCATGTCTCATTTCTTTCTTTCTTTCTTTCTTTCTTTCTTTCTTTCTTTCTTTTATGTCTCAATTTCTTTCTTTTTATTTCTCCTCCCATTTTCTTTCTTTTCTTTCTCATGTCTGATTTTCTTTCTTTTTATTTCTCATTTTCTTTCTTATATCTTTTAATTAGTCCTTTCATTGTATAATTTTTCATTTTTCTTCCAATTTCATCCTTTTCTTCTGATATTATCTTTCATATTTTTTGACATTAATTTCTTTCTCCGATTTTCCTAAGTACCTGACTTGTTTTACTTTTCATATCTTTTCATTCTTTCATTAAATTTCTCTCATCTTTGTTTCTTTCTTTTTAACTATATCCATGTTTTCTTTCCATACTCTCTTATTCTTTCTATTTCACACAGCCTCACTTTCAAACCCTTTTAAATTTTCCTTTTTATTCTACTCTACATACTTTCCTCGATAGTTCAATTTTCTTTCCATCACATCTTGTGTTACCTGTTTACATTATTCTTCATCAAATATTTCCTTTCCACGAAAGAATATAGGATACTGGCAGAAAGAAAGAAAGAAAAAAAAGAAAGAATGAAAGAAAATTATTGAAAATAAAATGAATGATTGGTATGACTAAAGGGGAGGAGAAGGAGGAGGCAAAGAAGTGTAGGAGTAGGTGGAAGAAGAGGAGCAGACTGGTTTACGTGTACGGTCGTTGAAGAAAGGAACAAAATCAATGGAGGGGAAGGAAGAAAAAAAGAAGGAAAAGAGAAAGCAAGATTTCGATTGAACAAAAGAAAGATGGGAAAAAGGAAAGAAAAAGAAAAAAGATCACAAGATCGTAGGAACGGTTAAAAAAAAAGAGGAAAAAGAAAAAGAAAAATTAAGGAAAGTAAAAAGAAGGGACGCAGGATATTAGCAGAAGGAAAGAGAAAAGAAAGAAAGAAAGAAAGAAAGAAAGAAAGAAAGAAAGAAAGGAAATTTATGAAAATAAAAGAAAGGGGGAAAGCAATATAGCTGGCGAAGAAAAGAAATAGGGAGAAATGAGAGAAAACAGAAGAGAGAGAGAGAGAGAGAGAGAGAGAACTGCGATAGCTGGAAGGTTAACAAAGAGAAAGGAAAAGAAGGAAAGAAAAATGGATGGAAGAAAGAAGAGATAGGAAGAGAAAAGAAAGAGCGAAAAAGAAAAGCAGAAGAAAGAAACTACCTGACCAGAAAAGAAGAGAAAAATATGTCAATTGAATGAAAGAAAGAAAGATAAAAAAAGAAAGTAAAGCGCAAGAGAGAAAGGAAAAAGCGGTTTGAATAGAAGAAAAAAAAAAGAAAGGAAAAGAAGAAAGAAAGATAATTAAATAGAGAAAAAGAAAGGATCAACATAGGATATTAGAAGAAAGAAAGAAAGAAAGAAAGAAAGAAAGAATGAAAGAAAGGAAAGGAAAGAGAAGTATTGAAAATGAAATGAAAGAAAAAGTGTCGGGAGCGAAGAAAAGATAGATAGAAGAAATGAGAGAGAAAGCGAGAAAAAGTGATAGTTAAAAAGAGAAAGGGAAGAAAACATTCTAAGAGAGAAAAAGAGAGAAACAGAAAAGTCGAAGAAAGAAAACCAGAAAAGAAGAAATGAAAAAGATGGCAACTGAAAGAAAGAATGAAAGATTATAAAACACTTTCGACATTAATACAATGGAAATAATGAACACTGCATTTTTGTCTGAAATAACACACCTTGAGGATGACAATGTGTTAATGTCGAAAGTACTCGGAATAAAACAACATGTATCAACACATTTTTCCTCTCTTCTTTCAATACCGACACCAGATCCGAGAGTATGAACGGATCCTGTTGAAAATAAGTAGACACATCTTGTCTAAAACTATTCAACAAAACTTTATAATGTATATATATATATATATATATATATATATATATATATATATATATATATATGAAAATTCTCTACTGGAAATCGGAGAAATTTTCATATATATATATATATATATATATATATAGTAGTCCCTCCAAATATATATATATAGTCCCTCCATATATATATATATATATATATATATATATATATATAGTCCCCTCCAAAAGTATTGGAACCGCAAAGTCAATTCCTTTGTTTTTGTTTTTCATTGAAGACATTTCGGTTTGACATCAAAAAATGAATATGAATGAAGAGTTCAGCATTTCAGCATTTATTTCCTTATATTTACATTTAGATGTGTAAAACAACTTAGGAAATACTACCTTTTGCATTTGGTCACCCGATTTCAGGTGAGTAAAAGGAACAGATTTTCTTAAAATAAATAACATTTAATATTTGGTTGCATAACCCTTGCTTTCAATAAGTGCATTAAACTTGTGACTAATTGACATCACCAAACTGTAGCATTCTTTATATGTGATGTTTTTCCAGATTTTAACGCAGCCTCTTTCATTTCTTGCTTGTGTCGGAATTTCTTTCTTGAGTCTTCTCTTCAGGAAATGAAACGCCTGCTCTATTGGTTTATGGTCCGGTGATTCACTTGGCTAGTCTAAAACTGTCTACTTTTGTCCCCTGATGAAGTCCTTTGTTGTGTTGGTAGTATGTTTTGGGGTCATTGTCCTGCTGCATGATAACCTTCCTCTAGTATGAATGCGTTTCTCTGCAAATTGTTTCAGTTTAGTTTTGAATTCATTCTGCTGCTGATATCATGAGTTACATCATCAAGAAATATAAAAGAAAATAATTAGAAGCAGCAATGTTACCTCAAGCCAGAACACTGCCTCCATGATGATTCACAAATGCGTTTGCATTGCTTTGGATCAGAAGCAAATCCTTTCTTACTCCACACTTTGAACTTTCCAACACTTTGATAGAGATTAATTTTGGTCTTATCGGTCCATATAACTTTCTTCAAGAACTTTCATCGCTCATCTCTGTACTTGCAAATTCCATCTGACCTTCTAATTATTACTGCTGATAAGTGGATTTAATCTTGTGGTATGGCCTCTAGATTTCAGCTCTCTAAGTCTTCTTCGAACGATGGATTGGAAAACCGTCACTCTTGCACTGTGGAGGTTGTTGGCGATGTCACTGAAAGTTGTTTTGGTTTTGTTCCTCACAATGTTTCTGCAACCAACCGTTGTTGTTTTCCTTGTCCTACCTGTTCTAGGCCGGTTGCTCACTACACCGGTAGTTTCTTTCTTTTCTAGAACATTCCAAAATGTTGGCTAAACCTAAAGTTTCACTAATAGCTCTGATCGATTGTCCTTCTTTAATCAACTTTAAAATGGCTTGTTTTTGTCTCATAGAGAGCTCTCTCGTTTTCGTGTAGGTTTATCACTTTTAACAAGAAATTCAGACTTTACTGGTGAAACCTAAAGGCTCAAACTAAGAGCATTCGTTCAGAGCTATTTAATGTTTAGACAATCAATCTGAAAGGTAACACCTGGGCAACAAGAAACACCTGTTAGTCATGTGTCCCAATAGTTCTGCTCACTTGAAAAATGGTTCAAACAAAAAGTGGCATGTCCTAAGTTGTTTAAAACATCTAAATGTAAAAACCAGGAAATAAAAGCTGACATTCTGAACCCTTGTCTCATATTCAATTTATATATATATATATATATATATATATATATATATATATATAAAATAGTAAGAACATTAAGTCAACACTCAGAGGCGAAGGCTGTTTCATGCTGGACGCAATCGTCAGGCCGCGTCCATCATGAAATTGATATGTCGCCTCTAGGCGTTGACTTTAATGTTCACTTTTAATATTTATATTTACATACGCTCTATCTCTGATATTGAGAACTTTATTCCACAAATATACCACACCTTAAAACTATATTTCTTCTTATTTCTTCACACACACACACACACACACACACACAAACACACACACACACACACACACACACATATATATATATATATATATATATATATATAAAAAGACGGACGGACACTCTTATGAGTTAGGAAGTTTATTTGATTTATGGTCCCCACTTATGCTCAAAGATCCCAAGATATTTTTTCTCACTTACATTTTTCTCATTGTAACCTAAGGCAAAGAGAGCAGTCGCTTTCGGCAAAACGTGTCGTTAGTAAATTTTCTACCTTATATGATCATCTCTTTTTTCTTTTTCGGATACTATTATACATCATACACACATACATACACATATAACACACACACGTACACATATACAGACACACACACACATATATATATGTATGTGTGTTTCATTAAAAACGACTGACTGCTGTTAAGATTTTTTATTTAATTTTTCTTATACAAGTTTCATTAACTTAACAGTAGTATCTTGTTAGTCGTTTTTAATGAAACTTTTATATAAGAACATAAGAATATAATTCCTGTAACGGTGCCTTTTTCTGACACACCTCCCACCATGCCCCTTTTAATGTCCTCCCTCTTCTTTTCCCCAACTAACAAGTATCCCACTACAATACCATAAACAGCTTGAAAAATCATGCGAAGTTTAAAATTAAAATTCGTAGGTGAAAATGGTCATTAACTAAAGGTATCTTAATTCCAATTGTAAAGAAAATTTTGCTCCATTTAATGAATATAAACATTAAACGGTCTTTTGTGAGTCAGTTTTAACATATTTCAAATTCTATGTTTTGTTAATAGGACTCGCCTGGATTATACCAACGGATTACTTTTAGATACAAATATTTAAGTAAATGCTCTGTTTATAATAAACAGTATTAACGACATTTACCGGTCTGAATGTCCGAGAAATTTTCATAGAAAATATGCGTCCTTCGACAGGAATCGAATTTGTATCCTATACGGAACCGTCATATAGCCTGACGTGCTTTACCGATTTAGACACAGAGGAGCGTTTCGGTTAGCAAGGTCGATTTTACTGTTTTTAAGCTACAATTCTCCATGATTTTCTCTCGTATATTCATATCTGCCCGATGCGTACTCAAATGTAAACAAATGACGTAACACATTATGAATTGGACAAAGTCCGATAATGATTTTAAGACATTTTTTATGTTTATACGTCCTTTTTATACATACAAATATTTAAGTAAATGCTCTGTTTATAATAAACAGTATTAACGACATTTACCGGCCTGAATGTCCAAAAAATTGTCATAGAAA